GATCACACAATAATTAGCACTCGGTCGCTGTTAATCCTCGCAGCCTGTGCCTGCCCTGAGCCAATAGAGACGACTGACAATGCAGACCACCCCCTTTATGCCCTAGAGTAATCACTGTGGTATATATTCGGTCTAACCATTTCAACTCCTCTATCAGGCTAAGCTAGGATGTTTCAAAGAGACAATAAATGGAATTAAAGCCAATGTGGTTCAAAGTAATAAAAACTTGTGGGGACCAATTCATGTATTCTATTAGCTTTCATTTTAAAGTAAATCATAAAGTATAAACACTTCCTCCTGCACATGGTCCAGCACCACTCAAATACAGTATAAATATTGGAAAGGCCTGCTACTACAAACAAAATGGAGATTGGTTTGTAACAGTCCTGAAGCACAATCTCAGGCACAAATGAAAAGTGCAAGAAGTCTGCATAAAACTAGATTGTAAATTTACTGCATGATGACATAGTTTAAAATAAGCCTCTCATAAACAATGTGGTAACAAAGACACAAGCATTAAATTGTCAGCCCAGCAAAGCCACCATGAAGACCATTCTGCTGTTAATATTTCTTTTTGCAATCCTTTGTTTTCACATCGTTATGGACCATGTAACCAAACACTGACTGAAATCAGTGAGTCCAAAATGAACAAACAAAAAAGCAATTCTTCAACCCAGTGAGTGAGCAACCCTCTTAGTACAGCTCAAATGAACAATGGGAAAGAAGCTGAAAAGGGGGGGTATCAAATAAAGAAGCATTATCCCCTAAGGCTGTCAAGGTGGCTTGGGAACTTTTGTGTTGCAAGTGAAAGGATGGTTGAAGAGAGCACAAATATCTGTTGTCTCAATTAATGTTAGATTTTATGGCCAGAGGATAAAAGAGGAGATTTTCCACTGAAACCAATGATTAAGAGCAAACCGTACAAAGTCAGAGCCAGTAGTCTACAGGCATTCATGGCTTGCCTTGAACACATTTACAGTCGTGAGAAGCAGTTTGTGAACACTTCGAATTATCTGCTTTTTTACATGAATGGCCTCTAAAATGTGACATTATTATTATGTACTGATCTTCATTTATAAGTTATAAGAATCTAAGTCAATCGACGCACAGTATTTTAGAGCACATATTTTTTAAAGAAAGGGTTTAAACAATCATGAAAAAGTATGCAAGTCCTTACATTTAGTAACTTTTGGATTGCTGGAAACTTTAGGCTGCTGTTAAGTGGACTTGGAATGACATCAAGCCATCCAGGTCCTGACGCTACATAGCCTCTTCACACAATTATACTACCTTTACCATACATCACAGCTGAGATGATGTTTTGGTGTTGGTTTTGTTCCAGCACTGCTAAGGAATATTCCGGAGACCTTCTTGCAAGTTTAAGATATTCTTATTATTATTATTATTATTATTATTATTATTTATTTTTTAAACATTTGAAAGTGCAGTGGTTTCCTCCATTAAACTTTTAAACAACATTACAGCTGAGAACCTCTGAATAATCTTTTTGGAAGAGGTCACTGTCCTCCAGGTTCACGTGTTTTACATTAATCATTTTGTTTGTTTAAACCATTTGTTCAAAACAAACACAATCCTGTCAAATGAGCTTGCTAAATAGCACTGACTTTATTATTATGATTTAGATGAAACTCCGATCTCATTTAATGTACAATTCATGCACTGTTCCTCACAATTTCACCTGATCAATGATTGATGTACCTCCAATAGCTGATTTAAAAAAATCTAGCCAATTAGGTTGATTGTTGCCCTGTTACTAAAGGTCTTCCATAATTGCTAAAAACAAAATACAAACGGATTGTCCATGACCTTTTCAAATTTCTTAAACTGTGTTTCAACAAATGCTTCTCAGCATTCTGGGAAATTAAGGAAGTTGCCCAAAATAATCAAAAGAAAGCCCAGTTGCTCCCTTCCTTTTGGTATAACTGCAGTAATACGGCGGCTCTATATACGACAGCAGGCCAAGAGGAAGTGGTAAAAAGCAAATCTCGCCATTTGCCTGCTGCATTCCGTCGATAAGACCTCAGAGAGAGCAAGGAAAAAAAAACAGAGAGAGAGAGAGAGAGAGAGAGAGAGAGAGAGAGAGAGAGAGACACAGAGAGAGAACGACAGAGGAAAAAAAGGAGAATGACTGAAAATCGCAAATCTTGGAGAACGACGCTGACTTCATTTGCCAATAGCTAAATGGCTTTGAGGCTTTGCCTAAAGTACTTTCTGCACCATTGCACCTCACAGTGCAGAGCAAGCCCTTTCCATTTGAATGTAACGTTATTCATTTTTTTATTATTTTTTTTTAACACCAACGGGGTCAATCAATGCATAAAACTGGCAAACAGCGGAACGTGGCACTGCAGCCCATCTGATGGAGTAAATGCACTTCAGATTCCCTCTTCAGGGGCATAATGGCCATAATGATTTTTGTCCAGTCATTAGCAAGGGACAGATGGCTGAAGGTAGGACTTGGGAAATGACTTTGGCACACATCCCATGTGTGCAACACAGATCGCTGGAAAGTAAAAGAAAGTAAACAGGTTTAACTTTACCTGCACCAAGTTGCAGTTAGAACAGGGATAACATTTCTAAGTTGAAAGCAATCATAATAATACTAATTATTTCCATGTCCGTACAGGTAATGATAGCAACATTTATTTTTTTCCATGCTATAATTGCATATTAGCCATTTAAACTGCTTTAACAATTCTGCAGGGAAATAATTAATTTCTCTCTACCAAACACCTAATTCTTACAAGTGTTTAACAAAAGTTCAGTGTACAGCTGCAAGTGTATTTTTAATTGATAATTAATGTGGTATCACATCAAAATAATGGTAAACTACAAGTATAAGCCAATACTCACATAATTCTTTCAAGCAATTACTGCCAAACTTTCATACTGTGCATATGTTATTGTCCCTAGTTATGTAGACATGTTAATTCCTCACAGCTGATTTTCCATGGAAACCATAAGGCTTCAGAAATCACACTCATTTTCTGTGATTCAAACCCTTCAGGAAGAACATGAGTTCTCAAGCAGCTAGCTAATAGTCTTTACGTTTTTGTCTGTGTGTATGGATGGACCTTGTAGCTCAGCATCATCCCTTTTATATGTCTAAAATGTCAGGGACCAGCAGTTAAAATTATGTGGGAAGAAAGGTCTTAAAAAGCCAAGCAACAGCAGTAAGCATAAAAAATTGCTCTGGTGTGGCATTTGGGAATCCAAGCAGTGAGCATAAATCATGATGAACAAGCTAGAGGGTTCAACCTGTAAGTGATCGTAGCATTTATTCTTTGAGGTATGAGCAAAACATCATCTGGAACCATTTTCACTAAATTAGAAAAGAACATGAACCTTATACAAAATATACAAACACACAAACTTGTATGCATAAACTAAGGCCTGAGGTGCTAAAGCTTTCGCACCAGTTACAGGTTAAAAGCAGTCTGCATGTTATGTCCATGATAAAACACAAAATGTGCTTGTCTTTCTCATGAAAATTTCAGTATGAGATATTGGAAGTGTGGCTCATCCATGCCATCCATACATATTTACTTTATTTACTAAAGTTTGAGCAACCTCGACCCAAGCCAGTTTGGCATGGATTTTCCTCCTTCTTTTAAAACTAAGCATAAATTCGCATTAAGGTCTCTAAAAACGTGTTGTTCAGAGACTTCCTTTAACAGTGGCAGCACCTAGACGGTGGCATGGGCCTCAAATACACGCTGAAATAATTGGCAACAGAATAACATTATTTCAGCTCTCAGACTCAGATGTACATATGTGAAGATGTACCCATAGTCCGTGTTATTGTTTTTCAAATTCTATTTACTTAGCTGAAGTACAATAATACTCATATAGAATGTTTTGATGGATAGAACCTTATTTATTAACACTGCTCTCTCAGCAATCTTTGTCACTGAACTTTTATTTTCAATTCTGCCAATATTTTGTATATATTAGTATATATATATATATATTATATTATTTCACTGTGCCTTTTAGAGTCTGCCTCACAAAGATGCAGTTAGTAGGTGGGACTACCCATTTTTTTTTTGAAAATCTGCAGTAAACTTTAATGTTTGTGTCCCCATTTACTGCAGTAACAGCTTTTACTACATTCAGCTAGAACATTGTTATAAGGATTTCATTGCATTCAGCCACAAAAGCATTAGTGTAGTCAGGTAATGATGTTGGATGATTAGTTCACAAACATCACTACAACTCATTTCAAAGAGATTCAATTGCACGCCATTCAGTCTCATCCAATCCCAATTTGCACACACACACACACACACACACACACACACACACATACACACACACACACACACACACACATACACACAATTTTGAGAGCTGAAGGGTAGTCTAAGTCCCGATAAAGCATGGCTGACAGCAAGCCTCAGATGTGCGCTAGAATACAAATATTTTATATCCGTCTACTCCACACTGATTTCAGTGCGTAGCGTGAATACTAGTCAAGCTACACAGCCGCCACCTCATTCAAAAACTGCCACCGCAACAGCCATAGGTATAGCACCCCCACCAAATATTTCAGCACCCTTGTAGCACCCCAGTAAAAAATTCTGGCACCACCACTGTTTCCATCACTCCAGAGGATGCAGTTCCACTGCTCCACAGTTCCATGTCAGAGAGCTATACATCCCTCTAGCTGACACTAGGTATTGGGAATAATGACAACAGGCTTGTGTGTGGCTGCACCAGAGCATCTCATTCTATAGCCAATGCTTTTCTTGGGAGATTATAGAAGGTATGTTTGTGCATAACTGAATAAGGTGCACCCGTTGGTGACGCACAAAGTTGCTGAATTCACTAAATAGAGGGAATGCCTGGATACTTTGGGACATATAGTGTATTTGTGTACATTTGTGAGAAAATCTGTGTGAAAGTATTTAAATATCTAATTGTTTAGAGAGAGAGAGAGAGAGAGAGAGAGAGAGAGAGAGAAAACAACATTCACTAACCCTCTTCTCTAGCTGTGCAATATGCTCCCTGTAGAATGCATCCAGTGCTTTCAGTTCAGCCTCCTTCTTCTCCAGCTGCTTACCCTGCACAACAGTTAAAAAAAAAAAAATCACAGTTAATGGGGAAAAAAAAATCAATTAAATGTGATTCATGTCAGATGCATTGATATGGGAATTTTTGGCTGATGCCGATACATATCTGTCAAAGTCGATACCAATGCCAGTATATCAGCATTTATAAAATGGAATAATTGGCACATCTACCCAGCATTACAGAGAAATGTTATATATAAGGTTAAAACTGCATTAAAATGAATAAAATTCAAACATTTTAGCACAGTACACTCACAAAAAGATGGTTCTTCAATGGTTCTTTAGTAAAGACAATGGTTCAATATAGAATCATGAACACTCAACGAACCTTTTGCATGGTTCTTTGCGTCATGAAGTGGTTCTTCAGACTGATGAAGATTAAGTTGCATATGGTTCTATATAGAACACTTTTAAAAAGGGTCTTCTATAGCACCAAAAGGCGTTCTTCTATTGTTACAACATCACGCTCTTAACAAATGAAGTACCCTTTTTGGTGCTTTATAAAACCCTTTTCAAAAAGGTTATGTAGAACCTAGAGATGAAACAATATTAAAATTTCATATCACGATTATCATAACCAAAATTATCACGATTATCGGTATTATCGCGATATTGTTCAAATGTGTTGAAAAGTAAAATAAATAAATAAATAAATACTGATACACAAAGTGAAACTCATTTCACCAACTTTTATATTAACACAAATAGAATTGGCAGCAATATGCACTTCTTGTTTGCATAAACATTAAAACAATATAGTCAATACATTTGTAGTATTACTTTTGTATTATTTACAATACTTGTAATACTCTGTAAACAAAAGAATAGCAAATGTATTATTATTACTGTTATTATTATTATTATTATTACTGTTATTACTATTATTATTATTATTACTGTTGTAATTATCATTATCATTATTATTATTATTATTATTATTATTATTAATTACAATAACTAGGGATTTCCCTGCATAGAGAATTAAATCTCAACTAACTCTGAGGTGGGTCTTAATGGAAAATTACTACTTCTAAGAAGTGTTGCACTATGTATGGGACATTGAGTGATTTGAGACAGTGTTATTCTCTTCTCAGAAAGTGAACACTGCAAGCGAGACAAGAAAGGGGAGCTGTGCAGATTGATCCTTTGCAGCGTCTCGTTCCAGAGCTTGTGTGACTTAACTCAGAGCTCATCTTGGAGACACTGTTCCCCAGAAATATGTGTTAAAAGCTTTAGTTTCGATTCACTGACTGTTTTGTTTTTTTTTTTGACGCTAAAAGCTTCATTTTATATTATTAACAAACCATAAGTATAAGTTAAACCACACAAACCATGACATTTCTTCTATTTCTAAGTCCCCACAGACTTCTACATTAAAGTTAACCTTGCATTCTCTCAACAGTAGCGGGTGGTGGTCACAAAGATGACTCGTAAGGTTTGATCCGTTGCCCCCTTTTCGCCCGCTATTTTCTTTCTGCATGTTCTGCAGACAGGGTGGTCATCTTCAATTAACTTTCCTTCTGCATTCTTATAAAACTCAAAATATGACCACACGTCAGACTATGTCCAAATCTCTGTCACTACATTCCGCCATGTTCTCCCTTCTCTCCTTCTCCCTCTCACTCTCTCCTCCTCCCCATTCCCCTCTACACACACACACACACATCTGTATCCGAGAGAATGATTCTGCCTTTGTTTGACTCTGTACAGTAGGTTTTTCACATAGTTTTAACGATACTTTAAAGTACAAACAGTACTACTAACCGTCATTAATTTTACCACGGTTTACCGTGAAACCGGTAACCGTTTCATCTCTAGTAGAACCTATACAATACAACCGCCATTAATCTGAAGGATCATTTCACAATGCAAAGAACGCTTTAAACATGTAAATATCTCTTTGAGTGCATTCAAAGTCTTTACTAAAGAACCCTTGAAGAACCATCTTTTTTAGGAAAGTAACCCAACTTCACATCTGAAGCACAATAAATAAATCCTTCAAACATTATTTTGAAATATTGTTCGAACATAAACATCTGTGTGATGCTGATTACATTTCTCAAGTAAGTATCTGCCAACACTAATATCCAACGTCACTGTGCATCCCCACTCTAAACAGCTCATTTCGAATTCATTTACTTGGTGTTTAAAAGGAGTAAGTAGATGACTACAACCTGCAGTATGTTTAGAGTATGCTCAGAGGAGCATTAATAACGTTGCTTTATCAGTGAGCATCAAAGCAACCAGAAATTTCTGTCTGAAGAATGGGCAAAACCTCTTAATTCAGCTATGTTGACAAGTCTCAAAAACTGGAATATGGGCATCTGGTGCCAAAGTTTTCAGATCTAGCAAGAGAACAAGGAGGATCTGCAACATGAACATGTTCCAAAGCAAGCAAATGCAAAGAAATACAGAACATGCAAACTTCGTGTCCCAAGAGAATATATGACTTTGGAGCGGAGAATATATCAGATTAATCCATTGAAAGCCTAGAAGTAAATGATGACTGTGGCAAACACTTACCATTTTGACACCTAAAATAAGCAGTCTATTTTTTTTTGTACATATAGTAAATATAAATGGACCATGCGAAAGCAAGCACTGCATGGGCTTCCACATCTGTGCCAAACCCACAGCTGAGCAATCACACAGGCTCCACCCACTCTTTTTCCTCTGCAATTAGCTGCTTATTCTGCATATCTACGTATGAGCCACATTAAAGTCAGCAGGAACGTATATTTACACACACATGCATGCTCACACAGAGAAGGCACCCCGTGGTGCTGACCGACAGGGCGGAGCATGTAGCGTATCAGCCAAACAAGAGAACGCAACAAAGCGCAACCCGGAATTACGGGCCAGTGTAATCAGCCCTTCTCCTCTGCCTTCTATCTGCAGCATGCCGCGAATCTCCTCCATCAGCACGCACATCATATGCAATTTTCTAGCTGGGTGGCTCTGAAACTGCCATGATGGACTGCAACACGTTTTGCATGCTCACTCCGAGAGCTTAATGCATAAAAGCAAAAACACCATGTTCAAAAGAAAACGTGACGAGTGAGGAGAGAGAGAGAGAGAGAGAGAGAGAGAGAGAGCGTGGGTGAGCGACAGCAAAGCCACGCTTACCCAAACAACCATTTCTGAGGCAGGCTGAATGGGGTAAAGGAGTGAGAGAAAACAAGAGACAAACACAGACCATTTAAAAAAAAATAAATAAACAAAAATAAAAAAACACCAAAGAGTTACATACATAAAAAAGGTAGTTCACTGCATGGCAAACCAACTAAACCATTAATCTTTGGCACAAATATTTCCCCTTACCCCAAATGTAGTCAATCAGCCTCTACGTGTATGGTTTTACACTGGAGCTACGAGGCTAATGTAAAACTTAAATAACAAACTTTGGACATGGTCTTGGTCTTGATCAACTACATTTGGGGTGCAAAATTTGGGGGAGTAAATTTGGGGGAGTAAATTTGACTTTTCACCCAAGTTTTCCTGTAAGGGCCCCTATAGTCCCTAAACAATTTAAATCATAATCAAAAACAATCAATCATTCTTAAGTTATTTTGTTGTAATATAATGCTAAACTACTAAAATGGCACTTATAATCTTGACACTCATTAAGAATGTGAAGATTTTTAGAAGCAGACCTGTCCTTATATGCAGCTTTGTTTTGGCTCAGAGACATTTCAATACTTAACTTGAAACCCAGTCAAAAGAAAATAGTAATAGCTTCTCTGACAGCTGTGAACAAAGCAGTTTTGAAATTTCATGCAGAACCGAGTGTGCACTTGGTCAACATACTTTCTCTAATTTATGGATGTGATGGTACTGGAGTGGGCCACTGCCAGACTGAACTGGGGAAAGGCTGATACTGTGGTTGGTTAGTCTGTGGCAACTTACTCTGTTACAAAAGTATGGGAAGGGACCATGTCTAACTGAATTGATTTTAATTAACTGTGCATCGTTATGTATGTCTGTTGGATTGTCTGTTTTTGTACTGAAAAAAAATATATTTTCCAAAAAAAAAAAAGAATGTGAAGATTTTGGAAACTGCAAACACCCTCTTGCCTCCCAATTTTTAACCCTGGTAAACCTGTGTTGTGGTCTCTGAAGCTGTTGTAGCCTGCCAGCTAAGCTAACTCTGCCACATCATAACATTTCACTAGCATATATAAGTGTATTGGACTGTGACAGGTTATTCGTGACATACAAAAATAACAAATAATTTTTACGTAAATACTAAGAATACCAAAATCTGTTTAACATTTTGAGTGCAGAATGAGTGCACATTTTTGTGACACCTACCTACAGTTCCAATTAACTAAGAGGCCATTTTATATACAAACCATCAACAAGACCATTTTTACAGTACTACAACACATAGAATACTTTGCTTAGCCACCTATATACCACACTGAACTAGAAACTGCGCAAAAAAAAGCTATTTGCTATTCTGCAGTGGTTTCCACTCCTACAGTGCAAATTGGGTGTCAATGAAATGAACATGTGGTTTGGAATCATTTCTCATAATCAAGTTAACTGCAGTATGTTTCACACATTTAATTAATAGGCTGGTGGAAGGTAATCGAGTCTCAGCTGAAGCTCCTGTCTGACCAGGCCAAGCACTGCACAATGTGACAGCACACATGGAACTCATGCGATAAGGACGAGGAAAAGCTGGCTTAAAAAGAAAAACAGCGAATGGTTATTATAGGATATGCTGCTGGGTAGTTGACTTTGGACTTGCTGATCTTAATGTCACATCTGGAAATGTGCTTTTAATAGTGTATGTAATGACAAGATCCAGCATCAAGGTTGTGATAAATCTACAGAATTTCAATGGCTGTAAGTATAAGTAACAAAACTGGGACACAGGTAACAGCACATCAAAAAGCTTTACTGAATAACATTATTGTAGCAATGACATATTGAGCACTTCTTCAGTTTACCCCATGTGCAATAAAGTCAATTATGACAATTTTTAT